TACGAACCCTTTGTACGAACAAAAGTAAGAGAAATTTAGGATAAGAATACGAACATGTTCTTGCATGAGYCCCATTGTGACAGTTGTACCAAATATGTAAAATATATATATTTTTATAAAAGTTACCCACTGCCCCTTTAAGGGGAGGTAAACTGGCTTTCCAACTATATAAACGTTTTACCAAGAAGCATTGTTAGAACAAAGAAATAAATAACCAAACACATGTATTTTTGTTTTTGTGTTACTTTTTCTAACTTGACTTATTTTGCCATTTCCGTTCATCTATTGATAATTGTCATTTATTGTGTTTTTCAGGTGGGTCTGCAACCACGAATCCACATCGTGGAAGTTGTATGAAGAACTTCACAAACTGACACACAAACAGGCTGAAATAAGCAACGAAACAGGCCTAAACATCAATCCACTTTATCCGCACATGGCAGCAGTGCCCGATGGTTATGTGACATGTCTGTGCTGTGGTGAAGGCATAGTTGAGGTGATGTGTTCATTGTGTTTCCTAAAAACAACCGAGGGGGAGCTTCCAAAAGTTTTAGATTTTTGCTTGCACCTAGTCAACGGTTCCATGAGACTAAAAACTGATCATGATTTCTTTTACCAGGTACAAACTCAGCTACACATTACAAATAAAAAATACTGTGACTTTGTGGTTTGTATTCCAACAAACATACACATCGAACGCATCTTCCCTGATGAGAATTTCTGGCAAAAATGTGTGGAGGCTAGTAAAGCTTTCTACATCCATGCTGTCCTGCCAGAACTTATGGTGAAGTGGTATTCGAGACAAAAACACCCAACAGAGGATGAAATCACGGCCCTGATTGAACCATTTTGTTACTGCCGCACAACCAGGAAAGGCATTATTATTAAATGTCAGAGTGACACATGTAAGATAAAGAATTTCCATCTGACCTGTCAGGGACTTAAAGCGTTGCCGAAAAAAACGTGGCTTTGTCCTGAATGCAGAACCCTGTCAAAAGCATCACAACTGGAACACAAATGATATTTTACCTGGACTGTGCAAAAACTAATCCTGTATATTTTATTCATTTAACAAACAGAGGCCTCAGTAGGAACCATACGCAGCCACAACAGCCTGGCACGTCCTCATGCTGCTCATCAATTTGGTCATACACTAATGTGGAATGGCGTCCCATTCATCAAGCACCATTAGTTACAGTGGGYAAAATAAGTATTTAGTCAGTCACCAATTGTGCAAGTTCTCCCACTTAAAAAGATGAGAGAGGCCTGTAATTGACATCATAGGTAGACCTCAACTATGAGAGACAAAATGTGAAAAAAAATTGAGAAAATCATTTTGTCTGACTTTTAAAGAATTTTTTTTGCAAATAATGGTGGATTATTATGGATATAATGGTGG